AAGGGAAAGGGAGGGGAAGGGAAGGGAAAGGGGGAATTGGGGAAAAGAGGGAAAAGAGGGAAAAGGGAAGGAAAGGGTGAGGGAAAGGAAAGGGAAAGCAAAAAAGAGAAAAGAAAAATAAAGAAGGCAGAAAGAAAAATCAGTGAGCTAAGAACTCATCTCAACAAACCAGAGGCCAGGTGGAGTGGCTCACGCCTGTAATCCTAGTACTTGGGAGGCCCAGACAGGTGGATTGACTGAGCTCACAGGTTCAAGACCAGCCTGAGCCAGAGTGACACCCAATCTCTAAAAAAAGCACCTGTAGTTCCAGCTACTTGGGAGGCTGAGGCAAGAGAATCATTTGAGTCCAAGAGTTTGAGGTTGTTGTGAGCTATGACGCCATGGCACTCTACCAAGGGCAACAAAGTGAGACTATAAAGGTTTAACTTAAAAACAAACAAACAAAAAAAAAGTGAGACTGTCTCAAAAAGAAAAAAGTTTGAAAAAAAATTAAATCCACAGAAACTAGAAGAGGAAATTGGTAAATCAACAATATCTGAGAAATATCTGGTGTCGGGTCTCACCCTGGGGGCAGGGTCCGTTAAGACCTATGGATCTGGTGGGAACTAATGAAGAAGTATAAAGTTAGAACCAACGAGAAAGAAAGAGACAAGACACACAGAATCGAATTTTCAAAGGTGAAACCCAGGGTACCACTGACCACTTGTGGGGGTCTGACGGTGGCCCTGTAGTTCTTTCCATTTAGCTTTTACTGAAGGCTATTTGTTCATTATCCCTGGGTAGAGTGAGGTGGCGTCACAGCTCACAGCAACCTCAAACTTGTGAGCTCAGGTGATCCTCTTGCTGCAGCCTCCCTAGTAGCTGAGAATGCAGGCACTCGCCACAGTGCCTGGCTAGTTTTTCTATTTTGTTTTTTTAGTATAAATGGGTCTCACTCTGGGTCAGGCTGGTCTCAAACTCCTGAGCTCAAGCAATCCACATGCCTCAGCCAAGATACTTTAAAGAAAAGTATGATGAGAAATCTTATGCTGATAAAGACTTACTATAAAGCTATGATGTTCAGCAGTGTTATAATGACACAAGACAGATAAACAGACCAAAGAAACACAACAGAGAATCTGACTGCTATAGATATTTGATTTATTTGACAGCTGACACACTAGAGAATGACTGGACAAAGACAAGAAAAGCACTCATAGCCGGCAAGAGGCTCACTCTGGAATATGTTAGGAACCCTATAAATCAGTAAGATAATCCATCAAAAAAATAAAAAAGAGACTTGAACAAGTAGCTCACAGAAGCTGCTATCCATATGGCCAAGAAACCTGAAGAAGTGCTCAGCTTCACTGCTGATCAGGGAGGTGCAAATTAAAGTAAAGGTCTCACTACATTCCTTCCAGATCAATAATGCCAAGTGATGGTGAGGATGTGCAGCAACGGGAATTATCCTACACACTGCTAGAAATCCACATGGGTACAACCGTCTAGAAAACTAGGCTAAAACTACCAGAGCAAAGGTGAGCAAACCCTGTACCCAGAAACTCCACTCTTCAGTACTCACCTCACACGGATGTGTGCACTTGCCAAAAGAGACAGGTTTTGCCAAAAGAGCTAGGTTGCTCAGAGAATATTATTCTATAATTATGGAATACTAGAAATATCCTAAATGTTCATCACCAGTTGAATGAATATACAAGCTACAGAATATTTATGTAAAGGAACACTATACAGTAATGAAAATAAGTTTCTGTTATACTCATCTAGCAAATATGAAGTGAAATAAAAATGTCAAAGAAATATATGTTACATGGATTCTTTTACGCAAAGTTTAAAAAGGGGGAAATTAGGCTTGCTGCCTGTAGCTCAAGCAGCTAAGGAGCCAGACACATACACCAGAGCTGGCGGGTTAGAATCCAGCCCAGGCCTGCCAAACAACAATGATGGCTGCAACCAAAAACAGCCGGGGGTTGGGGCAGGCACCTGTAGTCCTAGCTACTTGGGAGGCTGAGGCAAGAGAATAGCTTAAGTCCAGGAGCTGGAGGTTGCTATGAGTTGTAATGCCACAGCACTCTACCCAGGGCAACAGCTTGAGACTCTGTCTCAAAAAAATTTAAAAAAGGGGGGAGAAGGGGGAATTAATGTATTGTTAGAAAGAAGTCTAATGGTGAGAGTAGTGTTTGGAAGGGGTGCAAAAAAAATTATTTCTGGGTGGCGCCTGTAGTTCAGTGGGTAGGGCACCATTCCCATAAACCGAGGTTGGTGGGTTCAAACCCAGCTCCAGTCAAACTGCAACAAAAAAATGGTTGGGCATTGTGGCAGGCACCTGTGGTCACAGCTACTTGAGAGGCTAAGGCAAGAGAATAGCCTAAACCCAGGAGTTGGAGGTTGCTGTGAGCTGTGTGATGCCAGGACACTCTACAGAGGGCAATAAAGTGAGATTCTGTCTTTATAAAAAAAAAAAGTTGTTTCTGAGATATCAGCAATGTTTCCTTTCTTGACCTGAGGAGTATGCAGGTGTACAAGTTGTGACAATTCATTCACTGACTACATTTTTAATAAATTCTTTTGGATTTGTTAAAAATAAAAGAATATTTTTTACATTAAAAGACATCTGTAATAAACTTGAAGCCAGAAAGAAAAAAGTTAAACTGCACATATTTTTCACAGGTGATCTTGCCTTGATCTTATACAAGAACTATAACAAGATAATCTTACAATTCCTTCATGAAAGCTTACTTCTGCTTTGCCTTCACCAGGTGTTAAGGTCACTTCACTTTCATCCATTTGTGAAGTGCTCTCCACTGCTTCAAGCTGGAGAGTTACTGATCCTTCACTTAGTTGTGTCTGGGATTGTTCAGCTAAATCTCCTGCAGGAAATTTACAGTAGTCAACTTACAAGTATACATTGTCTGGCAGATATTCTCTATGGGACAATGACCAATAAAAATTACTAACCGCCAAGAAAGAAATCTTTTTAGCCCAAATAGTCACCTTCACTATAACTGTTTAAATGTAAAGTCATTTGGACAAAGGATAACAGTATAGTTAATGTGGTTCAATTCTGCAAAGTATAAACTTTAAAGTTTGGGAATTTTAATCTCTCCCTTGCAAATACACATATTAACTCACTTACTATTTTTTAGCTTTAAACATTTCACAAATATACAATAAATTAATTGAATTTGGAAATCAGTAGTTCTTTAGAGTAATCTCAACCCTCCCATTGGGACGCAGGTCTGGTACAACTGGAGCAGTGGGGCACGTCCTGTACAACTTCACAAGACATCATACCAACAAACAGCAGATGCTCATTAATTTTAAGTTGATCAAGAAAATTTGATCATACTTAGATTATTGTAGCCTAAAACTCAAAATAATCCCAAAACGCTTAAATAACAGGTTAAAAAAAAATTCCTTAAAATTTCTATAATAAGATCCATTACCTGAAAACAGAACATGGTTAAGATGACTCATGTCTTTTTCCAAATTACTTCTTGATACATCTGATTTTCTTATTAAAGCAACAGGTGTGCTCTTTTCTGGTGATCTAATAAAATAACCAAATGAAGGCTACAAAATAATTAAACATGAATTAGTTCCTTAGTTTTCAATTTACTTGATAAACTCTAGACTCTATCTCAGGCATCCTCAAACTATGGCCCGCGGGCCACATGCAGCCGGCCTAGAACATTTATCCGGCCCGCCTGGTGTTTTTTCCACTGCTGCCTGTCCTGCTTAGCAGCCGACTCGTCCCAGGGGCCCGCAGTCCGGCCCTCCAACAGTCTGAGGGACAGTGAACTGGCCCCCTGTTTAAAAAGTTTGAGGACCCCTGCATCTCATACTGGTAACACAGATAAAAGATGACTTCAAAAAAACCATTCTTCCCACTTAACCTCAAATTACTAGAGATGAACTTTAAAAGTCCAGATAGAGCTTTAATTTCCTTAATGCTAGATATCTTTTAATCCTTACAATATTATCGAATAAGTTGCCCTTACTGAGAAATCCAAATTAAAACAACACAGAAATGACACTTAATATCTTCAATAAGTATTAGTGTTAGCACTGTTTAATCATCAGTGACAGTATCAATGTGGAAAAAAAAAAACAAAAACTCTTGCCTCCTGAAACTGAGAACATAAAGGTATAGGCTCTGCGCCCATAGTTCAGTGGGTAAGGGCACCAACCACATACACAGGGGCTGGCAGGTTTGAACCCAGCCCTGACTTGCTAAAAACAACGATGACAAACAACAAAAAAAATCCAGGCACTGTGGCGAGGGCCTGTGGTCCCAGCTACTTGGGAGGCTGAGGCAAGAGGATCACTTGAGCCCAAGAGTTTGAGGTTGCTGTGAGCTCTGATGCCACAGCATTCTACTGAAAGCAACATAGTGGAAAAAAAAAAAAAGGGTATCCTACTTCATAGAACCAATACATCCATATTAAGATTAGTTTATTTTCCCACTAACTTGCACAGAACTTTCAGAAGCATTCTCGTTCTAGGAGCTCACTAAAGGACAAGCGGTCCCCGTCCATCTTTCCTACATGACCTTCACATGACAGACCTAAAGGGCGAACCCACTGACTAATTGTCACTTCAGAATTGCTTCACTTGGTCCAGTAACTTCAATGCAAGTAAAATTTTACACCTAATATCAAAATTAAAAATCCAAATAATACATCTATTTTTCCATAATCCAGTGCTTTATCTGTTTAAGAAGGAATTCAGTTACTCTTGGAACTCTGTCCTACTCTCAAAAATTCCAATCAATTCAGACAGAAAATCCACCTCTTTAAAGTAATTTTCTTTTTTTTATTCATTGCACAAGTTGAACAAGGCCACAGTTCAGATTCAGAGTCAACTATGATTTCTAATACTACATCTAATATAAATCAGAAATTCAGTTTCGGTAAACATTCCTTCTAATAACCATAATTTTGTATATGAAATTTATCAACAAGTACCTTAATTCTACCTCCAGAATAAATCTTAAATCCTTATTCGTTTTGGTTTGTTGTTTTTGTTTTGTTTTTGAGACAGTCTCACTCTGTAGCCCTGGGTAGAGTGCCAGGGAATCAATGCTCACAGCAACCTCAAACTCTTAGACTCAAGTGATCCTCTTCCTTCAGCCTCAGGAGTAGCTGGGACTATAGGCGCCAGCCACAACACCTAGCTATTTTTAAAGATGGGGTCTCACTCTTGCTCAAGCTGGTCTCAAACTCCTGAGCTCAGGCAACCCACCTGCCTTGGCCTCCCAGAATGCTAGGGATTACAAGCATGAGCCACCTGCCCAGCAGAATCCTCATACTTACCACTGTGTCTGTCTATCATCTTAGTCCCCATCCTAGTCTCCTCCCTCTGCCCACTTCTTTTCTTCTATGATTTCACTGACTTGTTCCATGCAGGCGCTTGACAAATGATGGCATCCTGCTACACCAGGAGGTGGGTCCAGGTACAAAGTTCCCTCCTGCTTTCAAGCACTTCCTCCCAGTTCATGAGATAAAACCCAACTCCTACAAGGAGCCCTTGTGATCTGGCGGCTGTCAAGATCCCCTCCTACCCCTGTCCCCACACACCTCTCCCCTTAGGGCGCGCTGTCTGCTTTCTGTTCCTCCAATTTGCCACTTCAGCTACTAGCTGCAGACCTCGCCACAGATGGTCTCCCTTTGCTGGGAACATTCATTCCCCACATCTTAGGGCACTGCCTCCTTTTCACCACTTAGGTGCCAATTCAAATTATCCTCTCAGATGTCACCATGATCATCCTGTACTTATCACTATCTGAACTGCTTGCATTTTAAAATTTTTACACATATTATATTTTAGTCAATCAAAAGACTCCTCCTAGCTCAGCACCAATAGCTCAGTGAGTAGGGTGCCAGCCACATGCACCAAAGCTGGTGGGTTCAAGCCCAGCCAGGGCCTGCTAAACAACAATGACAACTGCAACCAAAAAATAGCCGGCCATTACGGCAGGCACCTAAGGTTGCTGTCAGCTGTGACATCACAGCACTCTACTGAGGGCAACACAGTGAGACTCTGTCTCAAAAAAACAATAATAATAATAAAATAAATAAATATAGCCAGGCATTGTGGTAGGTGCCTGTAGTCCCAGCTGCTTGGGAGGCTGAGGCAAGAGAATTGCCTAAGCCCAGGAGTTGGAGGTTGCTGTGAGCT